TGGGAGCCTGGGATCAGGAACCAGGAACCAGGAAATAGCAGCATGTGGGTATTGCTCCTTCCAGCAGCCAGAGGGAGTCAACAAATTATGCACACACCAGTCCATTGGCAAAGTAGGAGGTGAACCATTTTAAATTAAGGATGTAGGCATAGGCAATCATGCATGTATATATTAGTGTGAATCTGAATACACTTTCACTTCTCTCTACCCCTCTATCGCCTGATCCAAGAGAAGGCCTCACCTCTAAAATCTTAACATTCTTTTTCATTTTAAAATATTCCCTTTCATTGAAATAATGAGTTTCTAAATCATGTAGGTGACTGCTTCTGTAAAATTGATCTCATATTTAGCTAGCACATGCAAATCTGTAAGTAAATATTTTTCTAAAGAAATATTTTTCTAAACATGCCTCAGCTTTGTTTTCAAAGTTTCTCTAGGTTCCCACTGGATTCACGACATTGACAATCATAATGGGTGTTGGATTTTCTTCACTAACGTCTTTTAACTGGGGCTGCGTGGCTGCGCCTATTCCACTCAGAGCATCTGGGAGTCAACTTTTTGCTATCATGGCTGAGGTTTCAAGTCTAACAGTGGCTGTCCCTTTACTTAATTATTTTTTCTTCTCATATTTGAATTTTTAAAATCCACAAAGGATGATGCAGGTTCTTCTCCTTCCTTATAAACTAGTTTGTCATGCCTCAAATATTGCAATTTACCAATTTCATAACCCAATTAAAAAATGGGGGTTTTGGTTGTGAAATTGATCTTAATATACTCACTTTTCAATGCAGTGTTAATTTGCTGTTGGAGCTCCATGCATTTGGGACAGGAAGGGAAGGATAGGTTGGCACTACTAGCCTTCAAAGCTCAAATAAAGGAGGATCCTCATTTGGCCTTGAGCTCCTGGAATGAATCCATTCACTTTTGCTTCTGGTACGGTGTCACCTGCAGTCGATGACACCAACAAAGGGTCACAAAGCCAGACCTACAATCTCAAAATCTTGCAGGGTTCGTATCATGAAACATAGGAAATTTGAGATCCTAAGGGAACTAATGCTACAAAACAACAGCTTTAGCCATGAAATCCCTCCACAAATTGGGCATTTGCATAGATTACAGGTATTACGTTTAGACAATAACTCATTTACTGGGTCTCTTCCAAACAACATATCATATTGCTTTAACCTTATCTTTGTGCATTTGGCTTACAATATGCTCGTGGGAAAAATTCCTCCACAAATTGGCTCCTTATCAAAGCTTCAAATACTTGTTGTACATGTTAACAATTTTAACAGGGGAGATCCCTCCTTCCTTGGGGAACCTTTCATCTCTCGAGGTACTTGCTACAGCTTACAATAACTTGGTGGGAAGCATCCCTAGTTCTCTTGGCCTTTTGAAACAAACTAACATTCTTGTCAATGGGCATTAATAAGTTATCTGGTACCTTCCCTTCCTCCATCTTTAACCTCTCTGCTCTTTTTACTCTGTCCATAATACAGAACCAAATTCAGGGGACTATTCCCTCGGACTTAGGTAAAACTCTTCCTAACCTCCAAGTCTTCAACGTTGCCACTAATCAATTTACCGGAACCATTCCCAGCTCCGTATCCAATGCCACAAGTTTATTGAAATTTGAAGTTCAAAGTAACGAACTAACAGGGCAGGTGCCAGATTGTCGAAAGCTTCATGACCTTCAGTATTTCAACATTCAACTTAATCATCTTGGAAGCAGTAAAAATGGAGACTTGAGTTTTCTCTCAGGCTTAACCAATGCTACAGAGTTAAGAAAGTTGATTATAGCCGATAACAATTTAGGAGGGGTGTTGCCCACGTCAATATCCAATCTCTCAACCATGCTTCAAAAATTTTGGTTTCAAAGTAACCAACTAGATGGAAGCATCCTGGATGAGATAGTGAATCTGGTCAGCTTGGAATCGTTGGCGATGTGGTATAATCACTTCACAGGTAACATCTCCACTAACATTGGGAAGCTTTCAATGCTTGTAGAATTAGAAATTTGCATGAACGAATTATCAGGAAGCATTCCGTCCACTCTTGGAAATTTAACCAAGTTAAGCAAACTCTTCTTGGAATATAATAATCTTCAGGGCATCATCCCTTCAAGCCTAGGGGAATGCCAGTCAATGCAAGCATTGGATCTCTCTAATAATAACCTTAATGGCGTAATACCTCAACAAGTTATTGGCCTGACATCCTTAGCAATGCTTTTGAACTTGTCTTCTAACCACTTTACTGGTTCTCTTCCCATGGAGGTTGGAATGTTGAAGAATCTAGGTGAACTGGACGGTTCTGATAACATGTTATCCGGAGAACTTCCTAGGAGCCTTGGTGGTTGTGAGAGTTTAGAAGTCCTACAATTGAAAGGCAACTTCTTCAATGGTCCCATTCCTTTGTCTATGAGTTTGTTGAGGGGGATTGAAGATTTAGACATCTCTCGCAACAATTTCTCAGCTGAAATTCCAAAGTTTTTTGAGAGCTTTCTTTTTCTGAAGAATCTGAATCTATCTTTCACTGACTTTTGGGGACGGGTACCAAATGAAGGTGTCTTAAAAAATGCAAGTGCGATTTCAATTGTTGGGAACACTAGACTCTGCCGAAGTATTGCTAATCTCCAACTGCCTAAATGTAACTTCAGAGAGTCCAAGAAACGAGGATCATCTCATAGCTTGAAATTAATAATCCCTTTAGAAGCTGGGCTTCCTCTTCTAGGAATAGCTATGGTGCTGTCCTATTTCTTTCTTCGTTCGTCCAGAAAGGAAAAGAAGGAAATTTCATTGAACACTTTGGGGAACTCTGTTTTGCAAGTGGCATATGATACTCTCCTCAAAGCTACCGATGGGTTTTCTTCAGCTAGTTTGATTGGCGGGGGTAGTTTTGGGTCAGTGTACAAAGGAGTTCTTGAGGGTGATGGTAGACCTCAACTTGTTGCCGCGAAGGTGTTTAACCTGTTATGCCAGGGAGCTTCTAAGAGTTTCATAGCTGAATGTGAGGCGATGAGAAATATTAGGCATTGAAATCATGTCAAGATTATAACTGCATGTTCAAGTGTTGATTTTCATGGTAATGATTTCAAGGCTCTGGTTTACGAGTTCATGGACCATGGTAGCTTAGAGGAGTGGCTGCATCCAGTTATTGGAACCGAAGAGATAAGCTATGTGCCCAAGAATTTAACTCTTCTTCAGAGGGTAGATATTGCCATTGGTGTTGCTTGTGCACTGGATTATCTTCATAATCATTGTGGACCCATACTTCATTGTGATCTCAAACCAAGCAATGTTCTTTTGAACAACGAGTTGGTTGGACACGTTTTTGACTTTGGATTAGCAAGATTTGTGCCACAAATGACTAGTAATTCTTCATCAAATCAAACAAGTTCCATTGGAATAAGAGGTTCCTTTGGTTATGTTGCTCCAGGTTAACATCCTTTCTTCTTTTTTAGTCTTACATAACCTAAACAGAGCTTTTCGATTTCCATTTATATTGATAATTTGTGATGCTTTTTATCATAGAGTATGGTATGGGAAGTGAGGTTTCAACCTATGGGGGTGTGTACAGCTTTGGCATTCTCTTGTTGGAGATGTTTACAGGGAAGAGACCCACTGACGAAATGTTTAGAGGCGGTTTGAACCTTCGTAATTTCGTGCAAATGTCAATCCCTGAGCGAGTTACAGAGGTTGCAGATTCAGTACTCCTTCGAGTAGGCAATGATGACGTTAGCACCAGCAACCTTCCCAATCAATACAGCGCAAGAGCTCAAAAGATCTCGGAGTGCTTCAGTTTGATATTTAGAATTGGAGTATAGTGTTCTGCTGAATCCCCAAGAGACCGAAAATATATCAGTGATGTTGTATCTGAATTGCATTCCATTAAGGAAATACTTCTTAGATAGAAACTTTTGCTAGTCTTAAGTAATGGCTTTGGCTGCTAACTATAATATATGTTCAATTTACACAAAGTGTGATGTCATATCTGAATTGCGTTCAAGTAAAGGCCTTGTGTACTTCTTTTTTGTTCCTTTTTCTGTTTCATATTTTCTTTTCCGTCTTGAAACTTATTAATTCAAGAAATGAACTCAAAATATTCTCAGTACTCTTGTGTCTGTTTTATTAAAATTATGATGATGATATGTGGGCGCCATGTAGCCATACTGCATTCCTATCAGTGACTTTTTGCTTTTTTTCATTCCATGATGGGGTTTTAAATTGTTTTCGGATTAGAGATCGCCTAAAATTAATTAGTGATATGAAAATCAGGACATATCAGGGAGATAGAAAGAAAATTAATCATATGCTGTACTTGTTAGTACCGAAAATTGGTTCTATACTGATACATTGTTCTGTATTTGTTGCACCAATCTCGCAGTCATACCAGTTAGGAAATCAGCTGAAGTTGACGTGCTCAAGCAACGGGAGAGACGGCACTTATTCATCGTCAAATGCTGACCCATCCCGGGGGAAATGGTACTTATTCATGGCAGTTGACATACATGTACACATGCAAGAGATTGATGATATATATAATTCATTTCTTGTCTGTATGGACAACTCATTAGACGAGACAATTATGGCCCTTCTTCTTCCAGATCTGATCTGAGTCTGACTGTTCATCGGTTGACGTGCGAGGTAATGAAAAAAATAAACAAATCATATTATCATAATTCCGTAATTGTTAATTATTATATATATTTCTTAAATAATAAAAATGTCAACTATTGTGAGCTATTAACTAGGTACCTTGCTTTTTTTTTTGCTGGTCAACTCTAATCTCGTTTAAACTGAGAATTAAAAACAGTATAATAATTTCTGCAATAATATAAAAGTTTTGAATTCATATGTTAATGTCATCAAAGTTTTCAAAAGTTCCAATTATGTACATAAATTAATTAGCTTGGAGAGCTTACAAATTTCACAACACAACGCAACCCATCTCACTATATCTCTCACTTTCAGTCTTTCAAGTTATACCCAACCCAATTCAAAATGGGGATTTTGTTTGTGAAATTAATCTTCACATACTTATCAGTTTTTAATGCAATAATATTTGTTTGCTGTGGGATCTCCAACGAGACGGATAGGCTTGCATTGCTAGCCATCAAAGCTCAAATAAAGGAGGATCCTTATGGGGTCATGAGCTCTTGGAACGAATCCATGCACTTTTGCATGTGGCAGGGCGTGACTTGCAGTCAAAGGCATCATCAAAGGGTCACAAGCCTGATGCTACGTGGCCAAAACTTGGTGGGCTCTCTATCCCCAAACATAGGAAATCTGAGTTTCCTCAGGAGTCTGCAGCTACAGAACAACAGCTTTAGCCACGAAATTCCTCCCGAAATCGGGCGTTTGCGTAGGCTGCAGGTATTAAGTCTTGAGTACAACTTATTTACTGGCCTTATTCCTTACAACATATCATATTGCTCCAACCTCACCTACATGAGTTTCGGCCACAACAAGCTGGTGGGCGAAATTCCTCCAGAAATCGGCTCCTTGTCGAAGCTTCAAACGTTTGTTTTACAATCGAATAATTTGACAGGAGAGATTCCTCCTTCCTTGGGGAACCTTTCCTCACTCCAGGTACTTGCCGCATATGGTAATAACTTGATGGGAAGCATCCCTAGTTCTCTTGGCCAATTGAAAAAATTAGCATTTTTGTCAATTGGCATAAATAACTTGTCTGGCACAATCCCTCCCTCCATCTATAACCTCTCTGCTCTCCAAGCTTTTCACATATTATACAACCAAATTCATGGGACTTTGCCCTCAGACTTGGGCCAAACTCTGCCTAACCTCCAAGTCATTAACATTGCCCATAATCAGTTTACGGGATCCATCCCTCTCTCAATATCCAATGCCACAAGTTTCAAGACTTTTCACCTTGGCTACAACAAACTAACAGGACAAGTCCCAAATTTGCAGAAGCTTCGTGACCTCGAATATTTCAACATTCAATCTAATCATCTTGGAACCGGTAAAGATGACGATTTGAGTTTTCTCTCAGACTTGACCAATGCCACAGAGCTAATATGGTTGCTCATACCCGAGAACAATTTTGCAGGGGCGTTGCCCGCATCAATATCCAATCTCTCAACCAAGCTTGATAGGTTTTGGCTTTATAGAAACCAAATAGGTGGAGGCATCCCAGTGGGCATGGGGAATCTGATCAACTTGGAATCGTTGGCTATGTCGAGTAATCGCTTCACAGGTGGCATCCCTACGGACATTGGGAAGCTTTCAAAGCTTGTGGAATTAGATATTTCTACGAATGAATTATCAGGGAGCATTTTGCCCTCTCTAGGAAATTTAACCAGTTTAAGCAGACTCTTCTTGCAAATAAATAATCTTCAGGGCATCATCCCTTCAAGCCTAGGGGAGTTCCAGCGGCTGCAAACATTGGATCTTTCTTATAATAACCTTAGTGGTGCAATACCTCCACAAGTTCTTGGCTTATCTTCCTTATCAATTTACTTGAACCTGTCTGCAAACCGCTTTACAGGTTCCCTTCCCACGGAGGTTGGAAAGTTGAAGAGTCTAGGTGAACTGGACATTTCCGATAACATGTTAACCGGAGAGCTGCCCAGTAGCCTTGATGGTTGTGAAAGTTTAGAAGTCCTGCACTTGCAAGGCAACTTCTTCCAAGGGCCCATTCCTTCGTCTTTGAAAGCGTTGAGAGCGATTCGAGATTTAGACATTTCTCGCAACAATTTTTCAGGTGAAATTCCACAGTTTTTTGAGGGATTTATTTTCTTGAGGAATCTAAACATTTCATTCAACGACTTTCTGGGAGTTGTACCAATTGACGGTGTGTTCAAAAATGCAACTTGGATTTCAATTGTTGGCAACATTAGGCTCTGTGGCGGTGTTGCTGATCTCCAACTGCCCAAGTGCAAGACTCAGAAAGGAGGATCATCTCATAGCTTGAAATTAATCGTCTGTTTAGTATTGGGACTTGCTCTTCTAGGAATATCCATGGTGTGTTCCTATTTCTTTCTTTGTTCGTCAAGAAAGAAAAGGAAAGAAGTTTCACGGACTACTTTGGAGAACCCTGTTTTGCAAGTGTCATATTCTACTCTCCTAAAAGCTACTGATGGGTTCTCTTCAGCTAATTTGATTGGTGTAGGTAGTTTTGGGTCTATATACAAAGGAGTTCTTGATGATGATGACGGTAAAACTGATCATCAGCTTGTTGCCGTGAAAGTGTTCAATCTGTTGCGCCCTGGAGCATCGAAGAGCTTCGTAGCAGAATGTGAGGCCTTGAGAAATATTAGACATCGAAATCTCGTGAAGATTATAACTGCCTGTTCAAGTGTTGATTTTCATGGCAATGATTTCAAGGCTTTAGTTTATGAGTTCATGGAGAATGGGAGCCTTGAAGAGTGGTTACATCCACCTGGTGACATTGAAGAGTCAAGGGATCATGCACCCAATAATTTAAATGTTCTTCAAAGGCTAGACATTGCCATTCATGTTGCTTCTGCACTAGATTATCTTCATAATGATTGCGAAACACCGATAGTTCATTGTGATCTCAAACCGAGCAATGTTCTTTTGGACAACGAGTTGACTGGACGTGTTTCCGACTTTGGACTAGCAAGATTTCTCCCACAACTATCCGAAACTGACGCTTCAGCAAATCAAACAAGTTCCATTGGAGTAAGAGGAACGGTTGGTTATGTCCCTCCAGGTAAATATCCCCATTCTTTATTCTTTCACTCTTGCATAATTCAAAATAGCTATTTTATGCCAACGGGGTCTAGCCCAATGAAAAAGGGTTTAGTGTGTGTGAGAAAACCCCCTCGCCTTTCCTAACTTCAGATATTTTATACTTTGTGATGTTTGAATTGTAGAGTATGGTATGGGAAGTGAGGTGTCAATCTCTGGGGATGTATACAGCTTTGGGATTCTCTTGTTAGAGATGTTTACAGGGAAGAGACCCACTGACGACATGTTTAGTGCCAACTTGAACCTTCATACTTATGTGAAGATGGCTTTCCCTGACCGAATTAGAAAGATTGCAGACTCACAAGTTTTACAAGAAGGCGTCGATGAGACACTCAAAGAGGAGTGCTTGAGTTCGATTTTTAGAATTGGAATTGCATGTTCTGCTGAATCCCCAACAGATCGCTTGAAGAATATAAACGATGTTGTGTCTGAGCTGCGGTCCATTAGAAAATCCCAAAGGTGAATAACTGTTTTAATGGAGTGAAAGAGAAAAGCTGCCTCGTGAATATGAGCCATCGGATTCAGATGATATAGACTTGTTGATTTATAACCAACGGTTGAGAATGCCAGTTGCCATGTGGGAAATGCATAACAATAAACTTGTGGCAAATGCATAAAATATAGGGAAGGAAAAAGATACATCGACAAAAGTGTGTGTTATTTACATTTTAGTAAACTATTGTTTGCGAGTTTTGAGATTAATTTGCTAGAAGTTTAGTTTAAATACCAACATTTTACTTTATGTACAACCAAACAATTCCTAGCTCCTCCCTCCTTTGCAGGCATCGTTTCCGGTCAGCCTCCAGCCGCCACTGTCGACTACTGGCGACAATTTCCAGTCGGTACCCTGCCTGGTAGTCAGTGACACACATAAATAAGCAATTGACTGATAGTCAGTGATCAAAATCAACATCAGCCTGGTCCAAGCAAGAGGGCCACGTCGGTCCTTGCTTAAATTAAAGCATAGCACCAAACCAAGTCTGGATGCCATTTATTACAAATTTAAGATTTGAGCTACCATGCATATTATTAGCGTCTGTAGGCCTGCCATAGTTCAATTTTGTTTCTTTTAGCCTTTTACCCGTGTCTCACCAAACAAAGAAATAATTAAGCTCCCAAATAAATTTACCCAACTCAGCACCTATAGGGCTTGTTTGGTAGGGAGGACTAGACTAGACCTACATTTTATGCGCATTGAAGGCATGATATAAATATGTTACCTAACTTAGATGAAGAATGGAGACTATCTATAAGAGGTTGATGACTAAAACTTATCCCCCTAATCCCCTTGAAATTGGTGGGATTATGAGGGATAAGTTTTAATCATCAACCTCTTATGAATCGTCCTTCAAATTAGACAACAATATTCATATTATGCCTTGATTGCAAATGAAATATATGCATTTTATTAGTTTAGGATAGTCCAGTCTTGTAACATCCCACATCGACTAACGGAGAGGGGGTGATGTGCCTTATATGTACATGCCCGCCTCCATCTAGCACAAGGCCTTTTGGGAGTTCACTGGCTTCGGAGTCATGGGAACTTTGAAGTTAAGCTAGTTGGGGCTAGAGCAACCCCAGGATGGGTGACCCACTGAGAAGTTGCTCGTGAGTTCCCAGAAACAAAATTGTGAGGGCAGAGAGGGGGGCCCAAAGAGGACAATATCGTGTTAAGGCGGAGCTGATTCCAGGATGTGACAAATCTAGTCCTCCTTGACAAACGAGGCCTAGAGTTTTGAAGCTTAACTGTCCACTAAATAATGTTACTTCTCAACATCTGTCATGAACTTAGTTTTTATTCAATAGGGGAGGAGAATTTGAACTTAGGATTGTTTAAGTATCATTAGACCAAGAATTGTTAGTTGTTAGAGTAAATTAGTGTGTAATTTTATAACAATTTGTTGGTATTAGGGTTTTACTAAACTGCCTACAACAATTATGTCTTGAAGCTCTTTACTCTTTTTTTTTTGGCCAAGAATTATGTCTTAGCTTAAGCTTGCCGACTTTGTCAAAGTTGGTGGACATCTCTTGAGTTCTCTACACTTCTCTAGATTTTTCAAGACACAAATGAGGATTAATTTTTAACACAATTTGCAACTTCACATTGAAAACAACATTAGTCTCCATTTCGGAAGCAAGCCAAGTCGTCTTTGGAAAAGACAGTACTTGAACATGTGTGATGCAGGATGTTCTACGTCCGTGTTATAAATTAGTTTGTCATGCTTCAAATGGAAATTACCAATGGAAATTAGTTTGTCTCCTCTCTTTACACCAAAAACTAAAAATAAAATATGGGGGTTTTGGTTGTGAGATTCATCTTATTATATTCACTTTGCAATGCAGTTTTGTTCGTTTGCTGTGTGACCTCCATGAATTTGAGAAGGGAAGGGAACGAGACGGATAAGCTGGCACTGCTAGCCATCAAAGCTCAAATAAAGCAAGATCCTCATAATGTAACGAGCTCCTGGAATGAATCCTTTCACTTTTGCTTCTGGTACGGTGTCACCTGCAGTCGACGACACCATCAAAGGGTCACAATGCTAGACCTACAATCTCAAAATCTTGCAGGGTTCTTATCACCAAACATAGGAAATTTAAGTTTCTTAAGGGAACTAAAGCTACAAAACAACACCTTTAGCCATGAAATCCCTCCACAAATTGGGCATTTGCATAGATTACAGGTATTACGTCTAGACCATAACTCATTTACTGGGTCTATTCCAAACAACATATCATATTGCTATAACCTTATCTTTGTGCATTTGGCTAACAACATGCTCGTGGGAAAAATTCCTCCACAAATTGGCTCCTTACCAAAGCTTCAAATACTTGTTGTACAAGTTAACAATTTAACAGGGGAGATCCCTCCTTCCTTGGGGAATCTTTCATCTCTCGAGGTACTTTCTACAGTTTCCAATAACTTGGTGGGAAGCATCCCTAGTTCTCTTTGCCGTTTGAAAAAACTAACATTCTTGGCAATGGGCATTAATAAGTTATCTGGTACCTTCCCTTCCTCCATCTTTAACCTCTCTGCTCTTCTTACTATGTCCATAATACAAAACCTTATTCAGGGGACTATTCCCCCAGACTTAGGTAAAACTCTTCCTAACCTCCAAGTCTTCAACATTGGCAATAATCAATTTACCGGAACCATTCCCAGCTCCATATCCAATGCCACAAGTTTATTGAAATTTCAATTTCAAAATAACAAACTAACTGGGCAGGTGCCGGATTGTCGAAAGCTTCATGACCTTCAGTATTTCAACATTCAACTTAATCATCTTGGAAGTAGTAAAGATGGAGACTTGACTTTTCTCTCAGGCTTAACCAATGCTACAGAGTTAAGAAGGTTGATTATAGCCGATAACAATTTTGGAGGGACGTTGCCCACATCAATATCCAATCTCTCAACCACGCTTCAAAATTTTTGGTTTCAAGGGAACCAACTAGATGGAAGCATCCCGGGTGAGATAGTGAATCTGGTCGGCTTGGGATCGTTGAAGATGGGGTATAATCACTTCACAGGTAACATCCCCACTAACATTGGGAAGCTTTCAATGCTTGTAGAATTAGATATTTCCATGAATGAATTATCAGGAAGCATTCCGTCCACTCTTGGAAATTTAACCAAGTTAAGCGAACTCTTCTTGGAATATAATAATCTTCAGGGCAACATCCCTTCAAGCCTAGGGGAATGCCAGTCAATGCAAGCATTGGATCTCTCTAATAATAACCTTAGTGGCGTAATACCTCAACAAGTTATTGGCCTGACATCCTTAGCAATGCTTTTGAACTTGTCTTCTAACCACTTTACGGGTTCTCTTCCTACGGAGGTTGGAATGTTGAAGAATCTAGGTGAACTGGACGTTTCTGATAACATGTTATCCGGAGAACTTCCTAGTAGCCTTGGTAGTTGTGTCCGTTTAGAGGTCCTGCACTTGCAAGGCAACTTCTTCAATGGGACCATTCCTTTATCAATGAATTCTTTGAGGGGGATTCAAGACTTAGACCTTTCTCGCAACAATTTTTCAGGTGAAATTCCAAAGTTTTTGGAAGGTTTTGTCTTGGTGACGAGTCTCAACCTGTCTTTCAATGAGTTTTGGGGAGCAGTTCCAACTGGAGGTGTTTTCAAAAATGCTAGTGTGATTTCAATTGTTGGCAACACCAGGCTCTGCGGCGGTATAGCTGATCTCCAATTGCTCAAGTGCAACTCCAGAAAGTCTCATAGAGGTCAGAGATTGAAATTGATAATCACTCTAGTATCGGGACTTGCTTTTTTTGGAATAGCTATTTTCCTGTCCTTTTTATTTCTTGGTTCGTCAAGAAAGAAAAAGAAACAAGTTTCATTGAACACTTTTGCAAACTCTGTTTTGCAAGTGTCATATGCTAGTATCTTAAAGGCTACCGATGGGTTCTCTTCAACTAATTTGATTGGTGTGGGTAGCTTTGGGTCAGTGTACAAAGGAGTTTTTGAAGATGATGATGATGACAGAGCTCAACTTGTTGCCGTGAAAGTTTTCAACATGTTACGCCATGGTGCATCGAAGAGTTTTATAGCTGAATGTGAGGCGTTGAGAAATATCAAGCATCGAAATCTTGTCAAGATTATGACTGCTTGCTCAAGTGTTGATTTTCATGGTAATGATTTCAAGGCTTTGGTTTATGAGTTCATGGACAATGGGAGCTTGGATGAGTGGCTACATCCAACTACTGGAAAGGAAGAGGATCATGTGCCCACGAGTTTAAATCTTCTTCAGAGGTTAGACATTGCCATTGATGTTTCATGTGCACTGGATTATCTTCATAACAATTGCGAAACACCGATAGTTCATTGCGATCTCAAGCCAAGCAACGTTCTTTTGAACAAGGAGTTTACTGCACATGTTTCTGACTTCGGACTAGCAAAATTTCTGTCACAACTAACAAGTAATGTGCCAGCAAATGAGGCAAGTTCTATTGGAATAAGAGGAACAGTTGGTTATGCTGCTCCAGGTAACTACTATCTCCATCCTGGCGACATGCTTCACTATTATATATAATATCTATTTTATTCATAATCGTGGTGACGATATTTTGTGATGTTTGGATTGCAGAGTATGGTATGGGAAGTGAGGTGTCAACAAGTGGAGATGTATACAGCTTTGGCATTCTCTTGTTAGAAATGTTTACAGGGAAGCGACCCACTGACGACATGTTTAGTGGGGACTTGAACCTTCATAATTTTGTCACAATGGCTCTCCCCGACCGAATTACAGAGATTTCAGATTCATCACTTTTTCAGGGAAGCATTGACGACAAGACTCTTAATCAATTGAACGCCAAATCTCAGAAAGTTGAGGTGTGCTTGAATTCGATATTTAGAATTGGAATTGCGTGTTCTACTGAATCTCCAACAGATCGCCTGAAGAATATCAGTAATGCTACGTCTGATCTGCATTCCGTTAGGAGCATTCTTCTTGGATAGAAACTTTTTTTTTATGCGGTTTCGTGATGGAGAAATTTTCAGGTGCTGCATCTTAAGTCTAGTTTGTTGCTAGATGTTTTAAATTTGGATAGTAAACAATCGCCAATGAGGTTCATTGTGTGAAAAGTACTATTCCCCTTGTATTTGGTGTGTTTCGGAC